AATACGAAACATGTTTAAAACTATGATAATCTAAACAAAGAGTGTAATACAGTGAATGTTTATTCAATATTTATTTTATTAAAGTAATTGACCAAATTAAAAAAAAAAGTCCCCCAGTGTCATTTTTGTTCATAATAGTTTTTTCATAAAAATTTTTTTTTTTTTTTGGCAAATCACCTTTGAGCAGAACGTTTTATATTGTTTTTAAAATTCTAAACAATCAGTTATTTTGTTAAATTATGCAAAAAGTACGAAAATATTATTTGATTGTATTTGGGGGGGAAAAAATAGATACAAAATATATAAAATATTAAATTAAAATATGAAAGGGCATTTTCAAAAATAATAAAAGTAATAATAATTTCCATCACATAACCACATCACATCATTTAAAATAAGGTGAAAATGACAATGTAATGGCAATTTTCATTGCTTTAAAAAATATGCTGGGGCAACTCAGGTACCTCCTGAAAAAGACAAATTAAACTAGTCTAAGATGGTCTCACAACCTGGTCATCTTATGCTGGTTTAAGTTGTTTGTTTCCTCTAAAAAAATGTTGTCTTTGGCTCTGCCAACTTTAGTTATGACATTGGCTACTGCACTCAGCTCAGTGTGGTTAAATGACACTGGAGCAGTACTGATAAAATATGCTGTGTGCTTTCATACTGGAAAAAAGCAGTTTTTTTTAACCTCATGGGTAAGAGGGTACTTTGGCACATTTGGCACAGGATGGTACAGTCAGTGTGCTGCTGAAACGCATATGTTACAGCTGAGGGTGACTCGGTGTGTGTACGTATCAGGGAATGTGGTGATCTCAATAAGATATGTGTGTGTATGTGCGTGTTGTGTATCAGGGCATGTGGTTTCCTCAGTAAGGGGTCTTGCGAGTCCTTCAGTCGGACAGCTGGAGGGCCAATCTGTCCTCTCGCTCGCCCAGCGATGGCAGGGCAGATAAGCGGCCACCACGGACCCGACCGTTTCCCCTCTGCCCCAACATACGCGCACACACCCACACCGGGAGCCCAGGAGCGGCCCGCAGCCGGGGGCTGACAGCTCGACACAGCCGGCTCAGCATGGGGTCTGCGAAGGGAGGGGAGGAGAGATCTGAGGGAGGGGCCGGAGGTCTGGAGGTGGCCGTTATTGCAGCCAAAGCTAGGCTCACTGCCAACATAGAAAGGGAGAGAAAGCGAGAAAGAGCGACAGAGGAAGGAGGACAGAAAACTGTGTCCAGATATACCAGCCAAGTGTTAAACAGCACTAATGCCTCTGTTGCATCTCTCCTCACACTTTTTGGACAAGAAAATGACTAAGAATGTGAAAATTAGTGTTGGTGAAATAAATAAACAAATAAAATAAAAGTTCACATGACATCTAGCACCAGCCTGGGTAGATCTTGCATGTTTTCAGCCAACAAACTCAAAGAACAGCTCATTCAGGTCTGGGATGTGCATGCAATTGCCTGTATTCTTCCCTGATTTTTTTTTTACATAACAGCAGTACATTTTCATCTTATGTGCTGAAAGTATCAAAAATTAAACTGGGCTTTAGGGAAAATGTCACTGAAAATGAAAAAAAAAAAGGCAACTAAAAAGTTTGAGGGCAAAATGTCCACCTTTATTCTGTTATCTAACAAACGATACATTTCAAAATATTTTAATGAATGAAATCTTCATTTGTTAAACACCTTAATATCTACAATATATCTATATATATCTGGAGCTAATAGAGTTTTTTTTTTTTAAACAATGGACATGAACACACACACACACACAACCCCAATACATACATCAAAATTTTAATTGTTCTGATTAAGAATTTATTTTGTGGTAAATGAGTGAAGAAGAAGAATATTCTAATAATTATCATTTCATTATGGGGACACACATTAAGGTTATAGCCTACCCAAGAGTAGCAAATTGGCTTATCACCTTTACCCAGAGTCCTTTGCTCCACATGCTACATATAGAGCCCCACTCACCTTAAAACTCTAACTGTGTCCTTGCCATACTATGGTTAACCAGACAAATCTTTCATGGTAAGCTCACACGTGTGTGTGTGTGTGTGTGTGTGTGTGTGAGCCTGTGCATCCATACTCTCTTTCAGCTTATAATAATGTCTGTTTTGACCTGAACAGTGACTGACATACATTGGTATGATGCCAAAGATTTGTGTGTGTTGTTTAAATGCATAGCATCTCTTGGAGGGCATGAACATTATCTCAGAATGAAGCTGGCACCATCTGTCTGTGGGACCCACGATGCTATGGCACAGTGGCAGGACGCCCCGAAACGCCATCCACATACACACATAAACAAGGTTAAATGGGCAATACACAGATGTCTGTCAGACTTTGGGTTGCTTAATTGGATAACCTCTAATTGATCAAAAACACTGAACATGATGTTCTGAGGGCTGAGAGGAGAAGATGAAGCCATGAATGAGAATTCAGTTAATGTCCATTAATGAACGATTGTTTATATTATTAAAAAGAAATAGATACAAAAAAAAAAAAAAAGCTATTTAAATAGTCAAGAATTATAATGAGAGGTTTTACACTTAAACAGATCATGGTACTTTGGGAATTGTTGTCACATGGAAAAGTTGTCACAAGGACTATATCTCAGAAAAGGTTGTGAATCAGATAGATAGTTATACAAATAGTTGTTTCTAGCAGTGTTTTCCCCACATTATTATTTTTTTTTTATTTTTTTTTATTTTAATAAACTGTTATTTCTTTTCCTGAGAGTAATTAAGTCTGAACTGTAAATTACCATGTTATTATATTGAAAACCTACGTTAATAAAAAAAAAATATGTTTAACAATATGCTTGTTAAACATGTTTAACAAAAAATCGATAGGCTACATTTTCACGATATTTGAAAAAAAAAAAACATTTGTGGAAACTATAAAAATCTGATGCAATGTCGCCATCTGTCGGTTAGTATGAGCAGGCGTTGCAGTGTCGATCGATGTTTCTGTGTTTGACACTTTTGTCTGACAGTTTGTTCAGCTGCTATGGCAGTAACAATAGTCAAGAATTATAATGAGAGGTTTTACACTTAAACAGATCATGGTACTTTGGGAATTGTTGTCACATGGAAAAGTTGTCACAAGGACTATATCTCAGAAAAGGTTGTGAATCAGATGTCCAGTTATACAAATAGTTGTTTCTAGCAGTGTTTTCCCCACATTATTATTTTTTTTTTATTTTTTTTTATTTTAATAAACTGTTATTTCTTTTCCTGAGAGTAATTAAGTCTGAACTGTAAATTACCATGTTATTATATTGAAAACCTACGTTAATAAAAAAAAAATATGTTTAACAATATGCTTGTTAAACATGTTTAACAAAAAATCGATAGGCTACATTTTCACGATATTTGAAAAAAAAAAACATTTGTGGAAACTATAAAAATCTGATGCAATGTCGCCATCTGTCGGTTAGTATGAGCAGGCGTTGCAGTGTCGATCGATGTTTCTGTGTTTGACACTTTTGTCTGACAGTTTGTTCAGCTGCTATGGCAGTAACGTTAGATGGACTCATGTGTTTTTAGTTTCACTGGTTTGTGCATTTGCTGATTAATTAATAAATGGGGAAAAAGGGATTCAATATCAATTTGGACGACACCGCGTTCACAAAAGAAAGAAGTCCGGTGGGTTTTCCCCCCTAATTATGATTATGTTGCTAGTGTGTTGTAGTGACTGCTACCTTTGAATTGAGAATGGAGGTTTCGAACCCCACAAAGCTTCATACATAAACTATCACCTATCAAACTAATCTGTGGGATCGAACCTGTAATGCATGTACTTTAAGTATCCAAACAACGTTAAACAGCTCTACTAAAAAAAAGTTAATAGAGACTATTATGTAAAGTGAGGTATGTCACCCTTACAGACTAAATCAATAAAATCACAAGCGCGATCTGCCAACTTCATGTGCAACTTTCCCACACTCTTTGCAAGTGTGCCCGTAACAAGGTGTTGATGACTCAAAACATATTTGAAGCATCACATTGCCCACCACAACAGGAACAGCCCAGCACATGAACTACTCTCGCCCTACACGTGCAAAACTTGCTAAATTGACAAAAAAAAATGTTTTAGTTAATCCAAAAATGACAATTATGTCGTTTACTCGCCCTTAATCCAAACCCATTACTGGAGAATCCCTTTTCTCTGTGGGTCATAAACGGTGGAAGAATATATTCGCTACTCTTGAAGCCCTACAAGGCCAAGTTTTTTTTCTTCTTTTATGTTTTCTCATCTGCAAATCAGTTAATTGGCATAAATCATTATCGGCATATATCAAACATCAAATACGCTTTTTGCCCTGTGCACACACACACACACAGAGAGAAAGAGTACTAACTTTATTAGGGATGGAAATTGTGTTTTGGGGTGAAAACAACGCCAAAACTGTGGGACAGTAATTTAAAAAATGTATATATATTTTCTTCATTGTTTGTATCATCATAGTTCTACACTTCTTTTTTAAACATGATATTTTCTAATGGAGTTTCTTGTTGCATATTTGAAAGTGAGTCATGGACAAGGCTAAAACAATAAAAATCTGGTGTTCAGTAAAGACATGGTAAAAAGTGTCCGAGACCCGTTTTAATGTGACCTTCATATAACAAAAAAGTTGTAAGTTGTAAGAAACCTTGACTAACATAACATCATAAGTGGATTTAAAAAAAAGAATGGTACAAAAGTGCATATGGCCGCTTAGATTCCATTAAAGCACTCAAGTGGCAGTGTTTCTTAAATGACTCGAGTAACCCAGTTCCTTTTGTTCACACAGGTGGCATCTTTATTTAAGGCCAAAGATGGTCAAGTAGAGACCTCATCTGCTCAGAGTGCTCCCCCAGCTTCTGGCCAACCACTGTCCTATGCAGAGTTTGTTGTTCAGAGCAAAAACAGGGCTCTTCAGGGAGCAGCCCATGGACAGACAATCAGAGCGCCTTGTTATCACTAGTTTTATTTTTGATTTCCCGGAAACAAAGTAGGAGCGATGCTGCAGGGCAAAGCAGTGTATACACAGCTGGTAGTGGATCAGTTAGTACGTCCTCCACAGCCTCTGGAAAACCTGAGGCTGAGCAGCAAGGACCAGAAAAAGTACCAACAGAAGATCAAACGAAAGAGGAAAGTCAGAGTTCGGAGAGTTGTATCATTCCTCCTCATCTCTTTGGATCTGGAAACAGTATTATTGTCAGTCCTCGACAGGTCTGTATACTGTATGTTCAATAAGGCAATGCTCAGTCATTTTACTTATCCATTTATAGAAATAAATAAACTGTACTTCTGAGAAATTCTCTGGTGTGAAGTAGCAGAATATAATAAATGGATTTCATGCATCCATGCAAATACGTGTCAGTATAAACATCCAAACATAATTCAAAATGTACTGACTGTAACTGTTAGTTGATTTGCACAATATAACATGCAAATGTAGAACATGATTATATAATATTATGTATTCTTCTGTCTATAGAGAGGCAACCCCATCCTAAAGTTTGTGAGAAATGTTCCTTGGGAGTTTGGAGAAATTGTGCCAGACTATGTTTTGGGGCGGACAACCTGTGCTCTTTTTCTTAGGTGGTTTTTGGTTTGGTATAGTACAGAGAAGATATATTACACTGGTTAGAAAATTAAATGATTTGTAATACTACAGTTGTCAGTGTTTTGTGCTGTATGCCCCTCTTAAAAAATAAATTCAAATCAAAATACCTATTCAAAATAGGAATCCAAATATATACAAAGGTAACCTTGAAGCTTCACCAATCATGTACATAAATATGGAACCAGTGCTGTTTTGCACATTTGAGGCCAATTCCAAATCAACTTATTGTTGGCTTTTAACGCAGTGAATCATGGAGGAAAGAAAGTATTAAGTTGATATTTGTATGATGTCAAAACCTGCCCCAGATTTGTATATTAAAAGTTATGAAGTATAGCAAGCTCTACTGCAACCTTTATCTGCTTACCACTTGAATGTGTATTTCAAATTGGTGTTTGTTATTAACTAATTGTTATTAAATTAGTTACTGAATGTCTATGCAGATATTTTAAATGCTAATAAACCGTAAATAATACTTTATTAATATTTAATGCAATTAAATATTGAGTGTTCAAATATAAAAACCTGGGTGCAAGCATGTGTATGTGCACTTAAAACTCAATTTGTAAGTGTAATGTGAGAATGAAATCCTCTCAGTCAGGTGTGAAACCACATCATCCTGTCTTTGCAAAGAAAATGAGTGAGAAGGTAGCAGACATGTTGTTGCTGACAATCATGATTGGTATGAAAACAATACATCGTAGATAATGTAGAATCAATTGAGAAATGTAAATTAACAAAAGCATTTTGCTTGTGGCTTGTTTCTGTGTATAATAATGTAATTTAATGTATATTGATGTTCATGTCCCATTTCTCTCTACCCCATTTTTCAGAAAGACCCTCATCATGCACTGAAAGAGCTTGCTCGAATATGCATCATGGCTGACTGTACCCTCATTTTGGCCTGGAGGTAAGGGGATGGTTCAAAATAATCAAGCGGAAGGGGAATTCCCTTAGTGGCTTGTGGAAATATAAGGTGTTAAAGTTACAACTCTGTTAGTTTTTAGTGCTTCAATTTTAGTTTCTTTAACTAAACATATCAGTTTGTGTGTAAGTCCTGAAGAAGCAGGCCGTTACCTTGAGACATATAAATCCTACGAGAAGAAACCTGCAGATGTTCTGAAAGAACAAGTGGAGAAAAATTACCGGTCCCAGGTTAGAGCACAAAAACCTATTAATAAATCTAAAATAATTATGTTTGGTTCATTTCATTGCACTGATGTCATTATTCTTATAAAACATTCCTGATCATTTATTGTCATTTTTAATACTTTATTTTTGTTTGACAGGTTACAGATTGTTTAACCACAGTAAAGTCTGTCAATAAGACAGATGCCATGACTCTTCTGTCTACGTTTTCTGTAAGGAATGCTTTTCCTTTATATGTTGCACATTTAGTGTTTTACTTACACTACTGTTCAAATGTTTGAGGTCAGTAAGATTTTTTGAAAGAAATTATTTTTTATTCAGCAAGGGCACATTTAATTAATCAGAAGTGACAGTAATGACTTTGACATTGTTACATAAAATCTCGTTGTTCAAATAATTGCTGTGTTTTAAACTATGTATTCATCAAATAATCTTGAAAAAATGACATTTTCCAGAGTTTCCACAAAGATATTAAGTACCACAACTGTTTTCAACATTGATAATAAGAATTGTTACTTGGGACAAAATGATTGATTTTTGTCATGTGCCACTTGAAGTAATGGCTGCTGAAAATTCAGCTTTGCAATCACAGGAATAAATTACATTTTAAACTATATTAAAATAGAAAATGGTTATTTTAAACTCACATTTTTGATCAAATAATTATGTAGACTTGGTGAGCTTAAAAGGCTTCTTTCCAATCAATCAATCAATCAATCAATCAATATTACCAACCTTAAACTTTTAAAATTTCATCAAAAAAGCCCATTGCCAATAAACTTGAAAAACTTGTATGTTCTTTTATGTTGATGCCATTTATCTCTTCAGTCTTTGGAGGGCATCATTAAGGCATCTAAGGAAGAACTAGTTTTGTGTCCTGGACTTGGTCCACAAAAGGTGTGTAGAGACACTTTGTTATGTTTTGAGCAGTTGATTTTACAGTGGGGAAAATTTGATCCCCTGCTGATTTTGTAAGTTTGCCCACTTACAAAGAAATGAAGGGTCTGTAATTTTTATGGTAGGTTTATTTTAACGTATAGAGACAGAATACCAACCAAAAAAATCCAGAAAACACATTATTTAAAGGTTAGAAATTGATTTGCATTTCAGAGAGTGAAATAAGTATTTGATCCCCAAGCAAAACATGACTTAGTACTTGGTGCAGAAACCCTTGTTGGCAAGCACAGAGGTAAGACGTTTCTTGTAGTTGGTCACCAGGTTTGCACACATCTCAGGAGGGATTTTGTTCCACTCTTCTTTACAGATCCTCTCTATATCCTTAAGGTTTCTTGGCTGTCGTTTGGCAACTCAAAGTTTCGGCTCCCTCCACAGATTTTCTATAGGATTGAGGTCTGGAGACCTAGGCCACTCCATGACCTTAATATGCTTCTTCTTGAGCCACTCGTTTGTTGACAATGTTTCGGGTCATTGTCATGCTGGAAGACCCATCCATGACCCATCTTCAGTGTTCTGGCTGAGGGAAGAAGGTTCTCGTCCAAGATTTTACAGTACATGACCCCGTCCATTTGCCCCTCAATGCGGTGAATTCGTCCTGTACCCTTAGCAGAAAAACAGCCCCAAAGCATAATGTTTCCACCTCCGTGCTTGACTGTAGGGATGGTGTTCTTGGGGTCATAGTCAGCATTTCTCTCTCTCCAAACATGGTGAATCGAGTTATTGCCAAAGAGCTCAATTTTGGTCTCATCTGACCACAGCACTTTCTCCCAAGCCGTCTCTGAATCATTTAGATGTTCATTGGCAAACTTTAAACGGACCTGTGCATGTGCTTTCTTGAGCAGGGGGACCTTGTGGGTGCTGCATGATTTCAGTCCATTGTGGCGTAGTGTGTTACCAATGTTTTGCTTGGTGACTGGTCTTAACTGCCTTAAGATCATTAACAAGCTCCTCCCGTGTAGTTCGGGGCTGATCCCTCACCTTTCTTATGATCATGATCTTGCACAGAGCTCCAGACCGAGGCCGATTGATTGTTATTTTGTATTTCTTCCATTTCCGAATAATCACCAACAGTTGTCTCCTTCTCACCAAGCTTCTTGCTGATGGTCTTGTAGCCCATTCTAGCCTTGTGCAGATCTAAATCTTGTCTCTGACATCCTTTGACAGCTCTTTGGTCTTGCCAATGGTGGTGGGAGAGGTTGGAATGGAAGATACAGATTGTGTGGACAGATGTCTTATACACCTAACGAGCTGACATTAGGAGTAACTTCTTAAAGTGACAGGACTAATCTGAGTTCCACATGGGCACATAACCAGTCTGTGGGAGACAGAATTCTTGCTGGATGGTAGGGGATCAAATACTTATTTCACTCACTGAAATGCACATCAATTTCTAACCTTTATATAATGTGTTTTTTCTGGATTTTTTGGTTGATATTCTGTCTCCATCTGTTAAAATAAACCTACCATAAAAATTACAGATGTGGGCAAACTTTGTAAGTGGGCAAACTTACAAAATCAGCAGGGGATCAAATAAAGATTTTCCCACTGTATCCCAAAGGTATTTTCCTTTCCTGTTTGTGGTTCATTTAGGCAAGAAGGCTTTATGATGTACTGCATCAGCCGCATCAGCCCCCCAAAAAGAAGGAAAGCTGATAAAGCCAAACTGCTTTTCATAAAATCACCAACTGTCTTCAAACAGAGTGCCTACAATAAGGATCTGGGGCCATATAGCACATGGTCGTCTGGAGGCTTCAGGCTCTTTGGCCTATGATGATCTCGGCCTGTAATTGGGGCATAAACAGTCATAAATGCAGTGGTTTAATTAATTTTTGTATAAAGTGTAACCTGCTTTTGTAATTCTGTAAATTCAATCTGACTTAGTAGAATGAGGCAAGATTAAACTTTTTGTGAAAATAACATCATTTTTTATGTGCGTTTACGAAAAATTCAATAAATTTGAATAATATTTTCCAGTAATTGTATGTTATGTTGTTGTTTTAGAGTGGGTGGGGATATTCTATTATAACGCCATGATTCGTACTGCAACTGAAACAAAATCCGTAGAAACCACTTGTCATATAATAAAAAAAGGGTGGAAACTTAAGAACAGACTCAAATGATATGTCGGAATTAGACTATATGGGCAAACTGACTCCGAGTATGAATGTGTTTCTGGGCCAAAAGTGTATGGCCATCACAAATGCCACAGAAAATCTCACAACTAACTGACTGGCACAAAACAAGTAACAAGCCAGGTGAGAGGTTTTATACTACAGACAGTGATCATTAGAATCTTCTTCTCTAATTTAAATCTAGTGCATTCATTTAGAAGTTATATGGTTCATATAGTTCTTAAAGAGATAATCCAACCAAATAAATTTAAAATTCTGTCATCGTTTACTTAACCTTAAGTTGTTTCAAACCTGCATGACTTTCCTCTGTGGGAAATAAAGGTGATATTTATTTGGTCTATATAATGGAAGTCAATGGTCACCAAACTGTTTGGTTACCAACACTCCTCAAAATATCTTCTTTTGTGTTTTACAGAAGAAAGCAAGTAATGCAGGTTTGGAATGATATGTTTGAGTAAATGATGACTGAATTTTTTGGGTGGACTCTCCCTTTAATTTTTCCTGAGAACTCGCATTGTTAATAATTCATGCGAGTCAGATTTTCCCCTACACCTTTCCGTTGTGCACTTTCATGTGTGGCAGAGGCTATATAGGTGAGAGTAGTCTCTGACCTACATACTTTGTCACATATAAAAGTAGACCCCACTGAGGCTTAAATCCTGTTCATGTTCCAGTCCTGCATCAGCACAGTCGTACATCATGCTGCTCAGTGTCTGTCTTCTCCTGTATGTCTTTTCTCTGTCTGGTAAGACGTTTACATATTACATCAATAAGGACGATTCTGTTGGGAGGGAATGTTTTAATTGAATACAATTAATTTACAAGACATATTTCTGTATGTACAGTATACACATTTTTTGTATCAATGGCTTGCAAGCAGTTTCAGTGATTTATTTATTAAAATATATTAATAATAATTAGCTGGTATGTACTGTACCCATGTTTTAACTATATTTGCCATGACAACCTCTAGTATCATGATCACAGGAGGGTTAGAAAGTGGTATTGTAGGTGGCAAAGAGGTAAAACCTCATTCCAGACCATACATGGCATCTCTCCAGTATAGAAGACAACATACATGTGGAGGAATGCTGATTAGGGATGATTATGTGCTGACTTCAGGTCACTGTTTGAAGTGAGTATGTACAATTTGAACATATACATTTTTTTTATAAACAATGTACTAACATGATGCTCTGCGGTTATCACCACTTAAAATAATCTCAACATTAAATGTTTTCACAGCAAGAACTTAGAAGTTGTTCTGGGAGCACACAATATTAGTCAGAACGAGGACAGCCAGCAGACTATCCAAGTAGACAAGTACATCAGACATCCTAAGTATGAGAACGGTCGCTTTATCTATGATATCATGTGGGGATCAAATACTTATTTCACTCACTGAAATGCACATCAATTTCTAACCTTTATATAATGTGTTTTTTCTGGATTTTTTGGTTGATATTCTGTCTCCATCTGTTAAAATAAACCTACCATAAAAATTACAGATGTGGGCAAACTTACAAAATCAGCAGGGGATCAAATAAATATTTTCTCCACTGTATATGTAGCATCTGATATCAGTTTACATATGTTACATAGTTTTACATATATTGTTTTTGCACACAAATTTTAACAATAAGTGCACTTGACATTTTAACTTGTCCAAAGGTATGTGTCTTTATTTCCTTTCCTGTTTGTGGTTCATTTAGGCAAGAAGGCTTTATGATGTACTGCATCAGCCCCTCATAAAGACCAAAAAGAAGGAAAGCTGATAAAGCCAAACTGCTTTTCATAAAATCACCAACTGTCTTCAAACAGAGTGCCTACAATAAGGATCTGGGGCCATATAGCACATGGTCGTCTGGAGGCTTCAGGCTCTTTGGCCTATGATGATCTCGGCCTGTAATTGGGGCATAAACAGTCATAAATGCAGTGGTTTAATTAATTTTTGTATAAAGTGTAACCTGCTTTTGTAATTCTGTAAATTCAATCTGACTTAGTAGAATGAGGCAAGATTAAACTTTTTGTGAAAATAACATCATTTTTTATGTGCGTTTACGAAAAATTCAATAAATTTGAATAATATTTTCCAGTAATTGTATGTTATGTTGTTGTTTTAGAGTGGGTGGGGATATTCTATTATAACGCCATGATTCGTACTGCAACTGAAACAAAATCCGTAGAAACCACTTGTCATATAATAAAAAAAGGGTGGAAACTTAAGAACAGACTCAAATGATATGTCGGAATTAGACTATATGGGCAAACTGACTCCGAGTATGAATGTGTTTCTGGGCCAAAAGTGTATGGCCATCACAAATGCCACAGAAAATCTCACAACTAACTGACTGGCACAAAACAAGTAACAAGCCAGGTGAGAGGTTTTATACTACAGACAGTGATCATTAGAATCTTCTTCTCTAATTTAAATCTAGTGCATTCATTTAGAAGTTATATGGTTCATATAGTTCTTAAAGAGATAATCCAACCAAATAAATTTAAAATTCTGTCATCGTTTACTTAACCTTAAGTTGTTTCAAACCTGCATGACTTTCCTCTGTGGGAAATAAAGGTGATATTTATTTGGTCTATATAATGGAAGTCAATGGTCACCAAACTGTTTGGTTACCAACACTCCTCAAAATATCTTCTTTTGTGTTTTACAGAAGAAAGCAAGTAATGCAGGTTTGGAATGATATGTTTGAGTAAATGATGACAGAATTTTTTGGGTGGACTCTCCCTTTAATTTTTCCTGAGAACTCGCATTGTTAATAATTCATGCGAGTCAGATTTTCCCCTACACCTTTCCGTTGTGCACTTTCATGTGTGGCAGAGGCTATATAGGTGAGAGTAGTCTCTGACCTACATACTTTGTCACATATAAAAGTAGACCCCACTGAGGCTTAAATCCTGTTCATGTTCCAGTCCTGCATCAGCACAGTCGTACATCATGCTGCTCAGTGTCTGTCTTCTCCTGTATGTCTTTTCTCTGTCTGGTAAGACGTTTACATATTACATCAATAAGGACGATTCTGTTGGGAGGGAATGTTTTAATTGAATACAATTAATTTACAAGACATATTTCTGTATGTACAGTATACACATTTTTTGTATCAATGGCTTGCAAGCAGTTTCAGTGATTTATTTATTAAAATATATTAATAATAATTAGCTGGTATGTACTGTACCCATGTTTTAACTATATTTGCCATGACAACCTCTAGTATCATGATCACAGGAGGGTTAGAAAGTGGTATTGTAGGTGGCAAAGAGGTAAAACCTCATTCCAGACCATACATGGCATCTCTCCAGTATAGAAGACAACATACATGTGGAGGAATGCTGATTAGGGATGATTATGTGCTGACTTCAGGTCACTGTTTGAAGTGAGTATGTACAATTTGAACATATACATTTTTTTTATAAACAATGTACTAACATGATGCTCTGCGGTTATCACCACTTAAAATAATCTCAACATTAAATGTTTTCACAGCAAGAACTTAGAAGTTGTTCTGGGAGCACACAATATTAGTCAGAACGAGGACAGCCAGCAGACTATCCAAGTAGACAAGTACATCAGACATCCTAAGTATGAGAACGGTCGCTTTATCTATGATATCATGTTACTAAAGGTATTATTGGTGCTCAAATTGGGTGGATCTTTTTTTTCTTCCACAAAACTCTTAGAAGGTATTGACTGACTAATATGTTACAGTTGAAGACCAAAGCTGTGCGAAATGAGTTTGTGGATTTCATTGAGCTCCCTAAGAACAATAAGAATATGCCTGCCCATGTGGAATGCTCCATTGCTGGCTGGGGCATGACAAAACCTGGAGGAAGAGTATCGGATGCTCTGCAGGAAGTCGGCCTCAAACTGCAGTTCAGCTTTGAATGCAAAAACAAGTGGAAGGACCATTTCAACTCTGAGAAAATGATCTGTAGTCTCTCGGATGGGAAAAGGGCGTTCTGTCAGGTACTGCAACATTACTTTCGATAATTAACAAAAGGTTTATGTCATCTGATATTTCACATAGTGGCAGACTACATTTGAAGTCTTTCATTTGTTTCTTTAGGGTGATTCTGGCAGTCCTCTTTTTTGTGACTCTAAACTTAAAGGAATGGCTGCATACACATATACTGATGACTGTACATCCAAGAAGTACCCCGAAGTCTACATGAAAATATCTGCCTTCCTTCCGTGGATTAAAAAAAATATTAAGTGATTGAAATAGCATCATTTATGCATGTAAATGATCTATCATGTGTATAATTGAAGCCTAACAAGCTCTATTACTAATTCTTGGCTACTCCCGAGCTACCATTTCCATATGGAATGTCATAAAAATGGTTAAAAATTGACATTTTTTAAAATCTTTTTTGTCTATTGCTTCCAATGCTGTGTTCAGGAAGAACAAATGAGGCCACTAAGCTCCTGTATGATATAACCTACTTTTATTGGACTAGCCTTCTTAAATTGCATTTAAAAAAAAGCAACAAAAAGACAAACAGGTTAAAGTGCAATAAATAAATCTTGTACAATCCTAAAACAAAAATAAAATCAGCTGTAGAACTTTTGTATATGGGACTGTACCTCACAATATTTATTCTTGATGTTGAAAGGTATAGATTATCATACCATTACATATAAAATGTTATGAAATGGCAAAGATACTACCATCTGTGACTGCAAAAATGAAGATGTCCATACAAAAGTAAAGAACAAATGTCATGACCTTTATTTTAAGGTTTAGCAAAATCACTCACTTCTTGTATGTTATAGATGCCCCCCACCCACCACCTTTTCCACAGATTTTTATGTTTGCTATAAGCAATGTCCAGTCAAATAAAAATTGGCTGCAAATACAATATGTACATTGATCAGTCTGTGTTTGATCTCTATAGGACACTAAAACTTCATCCCAACCTTTTTTTTTTTGGATAAACACTAGATTTAGAATTAAGGACTTTTTAAAGTCCTGTTTTATTTCTTTTCTGATAACCTTAACTGGGAATAGTATTTCAGTACTCTTTGTTCCTGTGACTCGATTGTTTGTTGGATAATGGCTACTTGTTATTTTGTACACAGTTTGTGGTTTGAGGTAAGAGGGGGAGGAGTTACACCTATAGTGAGGGGTAAAGAGTGGTTTTTTTGCAGTATACTCACACTTAATGCTTGTTGAACCATGGTTCTTTATTCTTTTCTTCTTCTCCTTGTTATCTCTATGGCTGGTAAGATATCATTCATTACATTTTTTCCAGAATTTGTTTTGTGCCTCATTTTATTTATTTATTTAGAAAAAAAATGTTGGAAAACTATTAAATATTTAAAGCTAATATATAATTTAAATAGCCTGGTAATAGTGCAAGTTATTCATGTTTTTATCATAGGTGGGATGGAGAGTGGTATTATTGGAGGAAAAGAGGCTAAACCTCATTCTAGGCCTTACATGGCATCTATTCAGTACATAAATCATCACACATGTGGAGGAATGCTGATCAGACAGGATTATGTACTGACAGCAGCCCACTGTTTGAAGTGAGTAGGTCTCTGGCTGCATTATTTATGATGCTTTTCAAAAAGGACTATGGTAGCATCAAGACTTTTAGTTTATCTGTAAATTTGTGCTTTAGTTATTCAAATACTTTACAACTAAAATAACTAGGGCACGACAATGGTTAAACTGATAATCACGATTATTTTGATTAAAATTATAATCACGATTATTCTATCAAAAGGGTAAATGCAATAACATTTCATGTGTCCTTTAACCAACCTCCACTGACTACATATACAGTACTACTTATACTGCCTGCGTCCCAATGTGCATACTATCCATCCTAAATAGTATGTGACATTAGTAATTTTCCATAGGCTGCTATTTAGGGCAGATAGGGTGGATAGTATGCACATTGGGACGCAAGGACTGACTTCATTTACCCATCATATCATCAGCGCATGTTCCGCCATCATTGAGCGCGCACACGGGGTTGCCAGATTGCACAGATTAAGTAAAACCTCGGGCAGAAACAAGTGTATCCTTAAAGGAGAAAGCTCTTCACATCTGGCAACCACAAGCAACGCTAGTGAAGACTTGTTAGCAATAGACTTGTTCGGCATTGCTGGGAACGCCCACAAAACGTCATAACCGTTTATGCCGTGGGGGAAAACAAACCATTCGAATTAACGCGCGGAGACCTTGTTAGGTGCTTGATCTTTACTTTTTGTGATGATTTCGATTGATTTTTGCTTGGTGCAATGTCGAAAAGTTGCTGTGTGGCGTTCTGTACCTCTAATAAGTTTAAAAAAAAAACCTGATCTGACGATGATCTGTCGTTAGTCCCGTCCTCCTGCACCGCAACCCAGTTCTGATGGGGCTTACAGTAACCCTCCTTCGCATCGCAATCAAATACATCTCCCTGATATTTTGTGATGTCATAATCTATTAAAACATTTATTTCATATTATTATACACAATCCCTTACGAAAATTAGCAATGGTATTACTATAGTAAAAATATAATAGGCTAACCATGTTTTTTTTTGGCATTTTTATTACCAATTGTAGCCACAGTTTTACTACAAATACCATGGTTAGTGTAGCAAAACATGTGTCTCTTGCTCAATTAGGTAACAAAAAATGTCGGGAAACGACACCTCTGGCCATTCCGTTGGGTCGTTTGTCTAGTCACATATATCGTACGGACAGTCCGACCCAATAAGGCTCAGTTTTTATGCGTATGTTGCTCTGTCGAGCGGCAGAAATGATTTTATGTAGGCCATTCTGAGTCAACACCATGCTTTTCCAATGAGGGGGAAAGGACTGTTTTCCCCCACGCCGACTCTGCCCACACAGCTATGACGTGATACCGATCAAGTCTTAAAGGGTTCCTATTATGCTTTTTCACTTTTTCAACTTTAGTTAGTCTGTAATATGCGGCAGAAATGATTTTATGTAGGCCATTCTGAGTCAACATGCTTTTCCAATGAGGGGGAACGGACTGTTTTCCCCCACGCCGACTCCGCTCACACAGCTATGACGCGACACCGATCAAGTCTATGCAAGATAACGCAAATGCCAAGTTAAAAACACGTTTTCTGTCTAATTAACGAGCCGGCCAATATCGTGACGATTGTTTTTAATTAATCGAGAAAGGTGGATATCGTTATCGAGATTAAAATACGATTAATCGTGCAGCCCTAAAAATAACTTAATAACAGTTTTTGATTTTTTTCCGTAGTGACAATGTCTACTTTTATCAGGACCACTTTGAGGTTGTTCTGGGAGCACACAACATTACCAAGGTGGAAAAGAGCCAGCAGAGAATCCCAGTGATGAAATTCATCCAACATCCTATGTTTAAACAGAACAAGGAAGAGGACTACAGCTATGATATCATGTTACTAAAGGTATTTTCACCTTCACCTACTGTCACTCTTTTATGCACTTTGCTCTCTATAAATTATTTTGCTATTTGCAGCTGAAGAACAAAGCCAAGCTGAATAAGTTTGTGAAAGTTATGCCTCTTCCTAAGAAAAATGGGAAAACACCAGCTAATGTTAAATGCTACATTGCTGGTTGGGGGTTGAAAACACCAAAAGGAGAACAGGCATCAGATGTGATGCAGGAGGTCAAGCTTAAACTGCAGTTCAGCTTTGAATGTAAAAACAAGTGGCAGCATTACTTCAACTCTGAGAGAATGATCTGCAGTGTTTCAGATGGGAAGCATGCATTTTGTTCGGTATTTCTATATTATATTATATTATATTATATTGTATTATATTATATTGTGTTATATTATATTAATGTATTTCTCTATCCATCTTATTCACTAGGGGGATTCAGGAAGTCCTCTTATCTGCAATACTAAACCACAAGGAATTGCTTCATATACCTTTAATGGTGACTGTACAAATAAATCATATCCTCAAGTTTATGTAAAAACCTCCTATTTCCTCCCCTGGATTAAAAAGAACATTGGTTAAAATTAAACAAACAAATAAATAAATAATTGACATCTTGGTCTGTATTATCGAAAATTGATTCATTCGTTGACAACAAACTATTACACTTGTGAATATGTAAAGCTGATTCTATTCATTTAAAGTCCGCGTGAACTGGAAGTTGCGACCGACTTTTACTTCCGTATTGTGACGTACTTCCGAGAGAAACGGAATATTGAATGAAGAAAACAGAGGGCGTGGCTTGTTTTTTTCTACTGCGAACTGATTGGATGTAGTAAAGTAGGCGGTTCATTCAGAAATGGAGGCAGATTTGAACGCAAGTTTGCAGTCAGTTGTTGAGGACTATTCACCACCTGACACACCGCCAGCAGTCTCGTTCCAGCGAGAAGAATTTAGTTTGGAGCAGTCGGAGGAGGAAGATGAGGAGCAGGAGCACACAGGGGACCATTTTGTCACAGGAATCAGGCCCTATATGTTTGAGCCATTAACGTCGGAGAGTACCAACGGTCACCTGGACGTGGAGCAGGTTCACCCTCAAGCACATCTGGATGTCTCCCAATGGTAACGCTATATTATATTAAATTAACCGGTGTTTAATTACATTTTAATAGGATATAGAATAGAATAGTTGCTTAGAACTGTCTAATACTGTTTAGCTGGCAGATAACTTATTTAGTGACAACCACTAATGACTTGCTTCCCATGATCAATCAGCAACTTTAATTTATCAAGTTAAACTGTCTTAACATCACTATAGTTGTGTCCGAAACCACTTCCTATCCACTATATAGTAGTGAGGGGAAACCGAGGGTCATGTGAAGCGCCAATTTTTTTCAAACCAGCTGTCCCAACCTTCCGATACTGCATGACGTTCGAAGCTTCAAACGTCATCAATCACGTGGTATTGTCATTTCGATACAAGCATCGGCACAGTGTGTAATACAATAGTGCTTTGAAAACGTGACAGAGGCTACGAGCAGCCTGTACAAGTCACATACTCAGCGAAGATAAAATACACAATTCCCACAACCAATAGCGACGCTTGTTAGGCAGGCTCACAGCTGATATATCATCCTGAACGCACACTTGCAGAGCGCTCTGTTGATGGGCCTGAGATCTAGAATCGGGCGGAGTCCTCCATCTCTCTTTGGCACCACAAAATGGCGGTTGTAAAACCCGCTCTCCAGCTCACTCGGAGGGACTCGTTCTATCGCTCCTTTTTTGAGCAGGTTGCATACCTCTTGTCTCAGAACCAGGGCATTTCGAGGCAATGTTAGAGACTTCACCATGCCGTTGAAAAGGGGTAGTCTGCGTCTGACTACATTGACTGAGTGAGGAGGAAAGAGCTCTTTGTGCACATGTATGCATTTTTTATGCATCATACACACACACATCAAACAAAAATTTGAACAATTTTGAGACCTGGGCCGATCGCGTAGGCTATTCTTCCCTCCTCTCCGGGCTGTCAGGACGACGGCTTGGCAGCTGACGGTGGGCGGGAGTCACGGCGCGGGCTCCTCTGCTTGCCGTGGCGCCTCTTCCCTGGTCCCTTTACACTTTTCTCCGCACATCCGGCTCCTGGCAGCAGCGGAGTTGCATCAGGTGACTCCTCGCCTTCGCTCGCTTTTCCAAGCAGGGGCATCAGGTGACTCCTCGCCTTCGCGCACTTTTCCATGCAGTGGCATCAGGTGACTCCTTGCCGCTTTACTGCTGGTGAGTGGGTAAGCGACTGAAGCGCTTGTCGCTGCACTGAAGCGGGGGCTGCATATCGCCCTGAATGAGTGAGAGAGCGGAGTCCTCTACACACGGCAGCCGCTGATGTGGGGCTGGTATCATGTGAATGAGAGAGCAGTGTCTTCCAAACACGGCAGCCGCTGATGAGGGGCTGGTATCGTGTGAA